AATAAACTTTTTTTTTAAAAAATGAAGTGCTCACCAGAAATTATATTTTTTATGATTATGACTAGAAGAAGCTCTATTTATTCAAATGTCACAAACTTTTTTAGATGCTGATCCAAATTATCAAATTACTATTAGAAAACTGATAAGGGCACTCAGGTATCAATTACAGAATTCTTAACAGTATTTTGGCTGCTTTCTGTATATGCCATCTCTAAACCTTCAGTGTTTCATCAAAAACTTAATAAAACACTGTTGTAATTAGAGGTGCTAAAGATCCCCATGGTCTCTCTACTAATGAAGTAAATTTCAAGTCCCTTAGCATGATCTCAGAGTCCTCCACAAACTGTTTTTAAAATCCTTTTCTTCTTTTCTTCTCCTCTCTGCATTCTGTAGTTCAGTCCAGTGGATTTATTCTACTCGAGGCTGTACTTGGAATAACCTAGAGAGACTTTAACAAATATATCTTTTAAAAGTTCCATTCAACACTGATTAAATAAGAGGTGGAAGCTGGCTTTTAAAAAAAATGAATCTCTAGTAGATAATTCTGATAGCTAAGGCTTAAACCACCGCAAGCCTGACAATTTTAAAGTGAAACAGGGAGAGACATTAAAAAAATACTTTCCAAAAAATTTTTGGTAAAATTTGTATTTTTGGTAAAAATTGTCTATTATACCTTATTTTGAAGTGTACTAACTCACTATTTTTTAAGGCTAGAGATCCAAAATCTGAAATTTAGCAAATTTAGTTTCTATAGTTTGAGAACTACTAGTCAAGTCATACTATTACCATTTTCCAAATATTGTGCTCCATTTCTATATTTAATAATTCTGCTTTCCTGCTTTAAAAAGTACAAAATCCCTAAATTTTTATTGCCCCTTACAAAAAAAAAACTTTAAAAAAATCCCTGCTAAAATCCAGGTTCTTCCTGCCAGATTTAATTGTTCCAGATTTTTGTGCTTTCAGTGTTTCTTTATGTCTTTATTACAGTATTTATTCTATCCAGGCATATAATGCATAGTTACAGAGACCAAACTCCACTAGTAAAAATAAATTTTTCATTTTCAGATACAATTCCAGATTTACATGAATATTTCCACAGTGTCTGGCACATTTTTTTCCTACAAATAGTAGGCTTATGTTTGAATTGCATAACAAAAGTATTCCTGTGCTCTCTGTGACAATCATCCAATACTTCTCTATCATACTTTTGTCAAAGAAAAGCAGTGCTGGAGAAAAGCTAATCTAGTTTTCTCCTTTTGCAATTCTTCAAATATCTTGTGATGTTATCACTAAGTTCACTTGGCTTGCTCTGCTAAGTCAAATATACTTTAACTGAGTATTTCACCCAAATGGCAAAGCCTGGCAACTCCCCCTGACTTGACACAGTAACAAGTCTCACAATGTTACCGGGCCCACTCAAGCAAATTGATGAACAATGCAAGGACAGTGCTTCAGTGTTACTTAATACTTAATGTTTGGGCACTTAGTGAAAGGCTCTGCCAAAGTCATTATCCATTTCAGACCAATGTTTCTCAGTCAGAGGCCATATGACTCCCTGTAGGTACTCAGTATATTCCAAAAGAGTCACAAGTGAAAAATCCCATAAATGGTGGGGAGGGATCACAGGGTGAGATAAAGGGCCTTCTAGTAGGACTAAGAAGCCACAGGATGACAACAAGTTTGGAAAGCAGCCAAAATTAGTAAAAGGTTGAGAAACATTGATTTATACTAATAATTTTCTTATAGTGATTATTGTGAAACATAAAATGCTAATGGAGATGATCTAGAGTTTTCTTTCATTCTCTAGCCCATGAGTACAAGTAAAGGGTTAAAACTGGATCCATGTAGAACCCAAGCTCAGAAAAACCATATCCTTAACTTCGGATGGTATGAAAAAGGGTTTATTCAGATGATGGGAGAAACACTCCCAAAGTCACTCTCCCAGTCTGCTGCTGTGGCATCCATGCTCAAGTGAGAATAACCACATTAAAGCACCTTCTCTATCAAAGTGTTTCTAAATCTAAATGACTGAAATCATTCTGGCCCTGCCATGATTTATAGGCATTTCTGAATCCCTCTAAACTTCTACCATCCAAAATGAAAATGAGGGAAGAGTTCTTTTCCATGACTGGGATTTTTTCAGTGCCAAAGATTGTATCTAGCCTATACTAGAAGTGCAGATAAAGCTGAGATATACAAGATAATAGATAAATTGTGTTGCACCAAGGTAAAATGTAGCAGTTTTTCTTTCAACTACTTCATTTAAACCCTAACTTACTGTTCATTTCCAGAGAAATTGTCATGTAAGTGAGGAGCAAAAATGGTCCTGTGACAGAGGATAGGGAAATGTTATAAACAACCTTCTCTTTACCTGAGGTAGAAAGAGTACAGAAGATGTTGGGATTGTTAGATTGTGCACAAGGTAAATTAAGGATAAAATTTCTACCTTATATGGAATTTAAAAAGATTATTTAATGCATAAACAGCATCTAGTGTATGGCACAAGATCAATAATGGTATTGAATCTATTAGTCGTTCCATCTCCCTTTTAAAGATAAAAGAGCCCTAGATGTTTTATTTCACAGAAACTTTTGGGAATATTGAGCTACACTTTTGACATAAATTACAAGTATATATTATATGTTTATGTGAGATAAACTGAATAACCAAGGGGTAGATAGAATATAAAGATTTGTCAACAATGTGTTACCCAAAATGGACAATACTGCCCCCAGGGGATACTAGAATAATCAATGGGGCAATAGTACTGTAGTATTTTCTGAAGTGGAGAGTGTACTTCTTGTTTGCTTAAAGGAGGTAGCTTTTGAGGTGTGTGCTGACGGATTTTATTTTTCTGAATAGGGGTTGGTAGGCCAAAACACTTGTTAACCTCTGCTCTACATCATGTTTCAGTACAAGTCAGTTGTTTTAAACTTGGATATCTACTCTAAAAATGGTCACACTGGGAGGGAAAATACTGATGTCTGTATCCTATTATGGAAACAAAGTGGTCCTGTGCTTCTGTGGTCTCTGAGGATAAACAAATTTGATAAAATACAAAGGAATTCAAATGTGGAGTATCCTTTTGGGGAAAAAAAAAGTTAGTAAGATATCAATGACTATTATAGGTCCAGGAATATGGCTCAGTTGCAGAGAACTTGTATTGCATATGTAAGGCCCTGGAATCAATTCTCAGTACTGCACTGTACTGCACTGTCTTCCTGTTGTTCATCAATTTGCTCAAGCAGGCCCAGTAATGTCTCCATTGTGAGACTTGTTGTTACTGTGTTTGGCATATTAAATACATCATGGGGAGCTTGCCAGGCTTTGCCGTGCAGGGTAGATACTCTCGGTAGCTTGCCAGGCTCTCCATGTGATTGCTATTTTAAGAAGTGGGATAGTTTTGTTCTATAAATAAACTTTACATTAAATTGAGAAATCCAAACCCTATAGAACTTTCTTATTACAGCATTACCATTAAACAGAATTACATTTGTGTTTTTCTAGTCTTTAATTAGTTCATAAGTACCTCTTTACCATAGGAAGACCCAGCAGGAAGTTTGTTGAGCACACCGTTATATATTGTGCAAAGTATATAACTATACCATGCTAGGACTTTCTTTTTTCTTATCTATGGACAAAAAGTAAAAGCTCAAGGAATATATCTAGGAAGATGCCCGGGTCTAGCATCTGACTAAATATATTGAAAAATCATTTCAGAAAAGAAGCCCTTCCTATAATGTGATGTAAAGGAGAATATAGAGAAAAACTCTCCTGAAATTAAGAACAAGGAGAGAGGGAAAGTGTGACTTGGGAACAGGAAAAGGCGATCCATTAGAAGGTGGCTAAATAACAGTGGTGGATGTGGCAAGGTATATATATTATTTGAAGTGGGAGTTGTACACCTGAAACTAGTATAGTACTACTAATGATTATAACTATAATCTGAATAAACATAAAGAAATGGGGTGTGGTATGTCCTGGCCCTTTAACTCCACTAACTTTCTCATCACTAAGGCACTATGGCAACCATAACAGAACACAGCACAAAGGAGAGCAGCCAAGACAGTGGCAGTTGGAAAAGTGATGGAGGACGCACAACCTTAGAGCCAGGTAAGAAAAAGCAGTATTTGAAGAAAGAAATAGTTAAGTTGATCTGGAGGGAGAAAAATATAAGAAAAGTAAATTGAATGGAATGGCATTTTTAATTTGACTATTACAACAGCAATAAAATAGGAACAGGGCTATTTCTGAGCTTTGCTGAAAGACAAACCAAATAACAGACTTTTAGCACTTCAAAGGTTTCCTGTTATTATGCAAGCAACCCTATTCACAGTGAGTAAAGGAGTAAACTTTACATAAGTCAGTTAGAATGCAGAGATTTGAAAAATATTATTAACCAGTTAAATTTATAAAAAGAATTCATGGAATTACATAAAATACTTGTTTAATTTGTTAAATTGAGGACCATCTACAGATGTTACATAAATAAAAAGATTATTTGGTGTGATTCCAAAACTACTATCATGTGCATCACTCGATACATGTGTACTGTGCACTGGTTTTCAAATTACAAACCTAATAGCACTATTTCATAAAGATATATCTCTTTTGTGTGTTTCATGGATGAGAAAGAAAAGCTTAGCATAAATTGAAGAAAATAATTATATATAAAGAAGTCCTTATTCTAAATTCTCTTTCTTGAACACCTTAGTTTATTAAAATGAAGATTTCAGTTTGTATGGTAATTATTTCTCTGTAAATTTTTTTCAATCTGTAATTTGAGCCTAGTTTTAAACTATCCTCCTTAACACAGATCTTGTATAGTGATAACACAGGGAGAGGATTTTGTTATTCAGCAAAACTTGATAAATTCTTTTCTCATATTTTTTATCAGAAGAAATAATAATCAGTCTGATCCATCACTGAAGAAATAACCAGAAAACAAACATACAATGATAAACTAAAAACTAGAATCATTGAAGAGAATAAGACTCATCATGACCCTGACAGGCCATAAGCGAAATGTCATCAAAAATTTTCCATTAGAATCTCTCTTAATACCACAAGTACCACGGAACAATTACTTGCATCTGCTAGAAGAAAAGCACAGAATACAACTAAAGAAATTTCTTCTTCATAGGATGTTTCTGGTGGCTCGGATATCAGAAAACACAGAAACAAAAGACATTTCTGACTACTATGAACAACTCTTTCAGTCAATTTCAAAACGTCACCTTGGAGAAGCTGTGACAGGATTATTGCTAATCTATCCTACTACTCTTCTACACATATTAGAATCCTCCAATGATAATCTTCTACATATTCTTTCAGATTATGTTAACGTTAAAAAGAATAAAACAGATTATTTTATCCGAGGAATGAAAATTATAGTTGTGTCCCACAATATTCCAACAAGGATTTTTGTGCAATGGTATACTTCATTAATAAATGTACCGGTAATGTATCTCGATGATGTAACACAATCACAGTCTTTAGAGGAAGTTGTTACAGAGTTTCTTAAACAAATTCATAAACTGGCATTCTACATTTTTAACACCATTAAAGTGGGCAATAAAGTGCCAGATGACTTGCACAAAACTGTACCTGAATTACTCCTCCCAGAGCAAGTAATAATGTATTTGTACAAATCTAAAGATTTCATGGACCCAGAAACTTTCATAAACATGTATAATAAACCCATTCATATCATCTCAGATTCTGAGATTGTATGGCCTGCTCCTACCCGATTCTAGGAATGACAGCAATGATGCGGTCAACTCTCTTAAGAAATTAATGCTACTTAAACAAAAAGAAAATATTTCTACAGCTACTCAACACTGCAACATGTATACAGGCAATATACTCATTTTACAGAATATGTTACACTAACCTTGACTATTTGTGAATGCTTTGCTATTAAGTTGTATATATTATTTTAATAGGTGGAGGGGTTTAATGCATTTATAATAAATTCTCAATTATAATCTAATTTTGAGGGAACTGTAGGTTTTTAAAGAAAACTATGTATGAAAAATAAAACACTTGATTCATATTATCACTCTGGTACCATCGAAAAATATTTGCAATTTTTAAAGGGAGGAACCTAGATCACCTTTGGTCCCAGAATATAGAGAGGAAAAAGGAGAGAAAGAAAAGAAACTGAGGGGAGGTGAGAAGAAACAGATGACAGATGGGAAGCATCAGGGGTAGGAGAGGGAGCTGTCAAGGGTATTCGGGTACATTGGTGGTATAAAGGATTGGTATACACAAATATCCAAACCAAAGGGTAAACAGAAATCATGAGACTCCCTCTATAACAACCAAATCTCAAAAGGTGCCTATCAAGATGCATGGTGGGGGTGGGGGAGGGAGGATGGGAGAGGGAATCTGGAAACACTAGTGGGAGGAATTTGACACTGGTGGTGGATTAATGTTAGAACACTGCATGTCTAAAACACAACTATAAATAGCTTTGTAAATCATTGTGCTTTAATGAAAAATATTTTAAAAGCATGTAGATCACACACAGATCTGTGTACTGGTAGCAAAAATTTCAGGAGAGAAATATCATCCTTGGGCCTCTTGCAACCTATGAATAGAAATAACTTTCAAAAAGTAATATTATTTCATATGATCATTATCAAAATATTCCAGAAGTGTATGAAAGACTGAAAGCACAGAATGGGAATATCTTTACATGAGTCCTGATTTAAGAAAAAAATAACTTAAACTTAGAAAGTAGTTTCAAAGCTCATGTATTTTAAACTATGTAATCAAAAATACTGAAGACATTATAAAGTACAAAAACATGAGTCAGTAAACTTTAGGAAGATCATTAGGTAGTTCTTAGCCCAGTGAGTTATAAAATTCCTTAAAATACACTTTTGCATTAGAGTATAGATGCTAATTTAAACAAGAAAAAAACATTTTAACACTTAACATTTCTGTACTCATATAATATATATGCAATAAACATATAATATCTCTTTATGAGACCAACACCTTCCCACCATACCCCACTCTTTAGATATAGGTATTTATAAAACAGCTATATACCAATATTATATTTGTTTGACATAACTAAAGGCTTTCAGAAAGTATGGGTCAAAAAGCAAAAATTCTGAAGTGTTTATTTTAGGCAAAGAGCTATGGGAATTTATTTATTACAGGGAATTTATTTATTACAAATATTTTTAATAAAATTTTACAAATGCTTATACAAATAGATTCACTGACTTTATCATAACTTGCAACATGGAAGCATGCTTCAATTTAATTAAATCTATCTTCAGGAGTAAAATTCCTCACCAGAATCCATAAGGAATAGGTAAGGAAAACCTAGCACCAATTTCAGACAATCTGATACTGTAGAGAGTGACAATGTAGATTTAGAGATCTCTCCCTCTTATGGCCATTTATACAAATTTCCAGATACCTGCTGACAGTACTTACATAATAAATACAGATCCAGTATTTTAAAATAATATTGAGTTAGGACCATTCATGGTCTCAGAGAGAATGCATGAATACAGAATTGCTGGGTTTGAGTCCTAGCATCACGTTTCCCTGAGAATCACTGGGTATACCCTCCAGTCCAAATAAACAAATAAGTAAATAAATATAAAATGAACCCTAAAAGTATCTTTTATGTATATGTTATACTACCCTTATTTAAAGACAAATATTTGAATCCCAAAGACACTGAAGTTTAACAGTAAATCCAAGGGTTCATAATACTAGTCCCCTAGGTAAAATTTAACACTTCAAATAACCAAAAAGCATCACTTTAATTAGGTACTCTCTCCACTGCTTCACTGTCCTCCATTCCCCCCGCTGCCCTCTCCACCCCCAAACATGCTCAGGCACTAGCCTCACATTGTGTCTTCTTGGGAAGTCCCAATGAATTCCAACAAGCATATCCATCTCCACACTAGATCGAATGTGCTATTCCACCACTACTCCTTCAATGTGATCTCCATTCACTCTGTTCTAAACTAGAGCACTTGCTACAAAGCTGCAAATCCTGAACATTATCCTGTTCCTCCCTCCCATTTTACCATGGTAGTCAATCAATTGACTACACATTTCCCAAGGGGTACCCAAATTCCACCCATTTCCACTGTATCTGGTGTCTGGCCTTGTGTCTGTGCAAGGCTCTTGCTCCCCCCAATGTCTCTTCTGCGTTTCTCTCTCCCTAGTCTGAAGAATCTATGCATGTTTTTCCAATTTAAAGTTGATATAGCACAAGGTTTACAAGAGTTACCAATAACATTTGATTGCTGTCCTGAAATCTGGTTGTGCAACTCTGTAGGGTTGTGATCTTTTTACCCTTTTGCATGATCTTTCCACATTTACAAAATGAGTATAAAATGCATCACAATGTCTACAAGGTTGCTATTGGTGCTGCAGGAAACAAGCATATAAATATATTGTCAAAAGGAAAGTACTTAATGTTAATCCTATTCCACAATGATTACATGGCTGTTATTTCACCTCTCATATAAAAAGTAAATGTTATCAAGAGCTGTACAATCTTTATTCTCTAATCATGTTTTAGATATTAGCATCCCTTGCTTATATTGTGCCCAGCATTCTTTCTCAAAATATATTCTCAATAATTTCCAATCATTTACATATTCTTTGCCCTTAACTGCTTTCAGTTTCCTTAGGAAAATTCTTCTGATGATCAAATTTTATTTTCTCTGTGAGTACTGACTTGAGAAATCCTTTCCTGCCTTCATTGTACATATATCTAGTCAAATTATAGCAATTCTTCAGTCATATGCTGACTCATTTCCCTGCCAGCAACTTGTAAGCATTTGCTATGGAATATTCTGATATGTATATACACACATATATATGCATATATATAGTTCATCTAAAAATAAATAATTCAAATACAAATAAGGATATAAGTTCTTTCGTTAAAATGGATCTAGAATACCAATATTTTTAAATTTTCCTTTATGATTGATCATGTTTTGGTCATTTCACAAGTAACCAAAGCTCTTCGATTGTACTGTATCTGAAATTTTCAGTTTTACCCACATAATTTCTTTCAGTCTAATTTGGAAGAATACCAAGAATACATTCTGAAAGTGATTCAGCTGAACTTTTGTGTTTATATATTACTACTCACTGAGCCAAATTTAGGAGCTTATTCCCAATTCATTGCATTATAAATACTCTTTTCTGTGGGAGTATCTGACAAACTACTAGTGAGGTACATGACTTTCATCTGTAAAGACTCTTTTTTGTGTTTTCTTAAGTACTTGCTTCACTGGCCACACTTTTCTTTTGGATATATACTTAGTAAAATTAATACCTATATTCTCTATATTTATACACCTTATAATTAAACTTGATTCCATTTGTTATTTTAGTTATGTCATTCACATTCAGATGTTTTTAAAATACTAAGCCATTTTTAAGATACTACTTAAAACAGTGCATGTAATATAAAACCTTGATTATAGAGGAAAAAACATTTGTTTTGAGCACACTTTTATCTTGTCAAAATTATCTCCAATATAGTTTGCCTCTTAAGTGACTTTTGTGACTCAACTCTTACCTTCCTTCCCTTCCTATTCCCAGTTTATATTATTTTTATTTTTACAAAAACAAAATAAAATAATGTCTACAACCAGAAAAATTTTATTGTAGGTATAATCTATACACTTTATATTTAATTGTTCACTTTTCATTTTGTGCCCTACATTGACAGTTCTTAAGCACATATTTCTACCAACTAAAACCGAAGTGTAGTAAAGAAAACAGTGAAGCGAGATGAATGACTTCTGTAATATTCTCTAACTCATTGTGTGCCCTTGCACAAGAAATTCATTCCTTTTGAAGTTCTGCTCATTTACTTGCTAGAATATATGAGCATGATAAAGAGGTCCATGAAGCCCTTGACTACTATTGAAAAATGTTCCTAAAAGGACAGATTATGCTGTCTTACAATCAGGCAGGAAGAGGAATATGAATAAGTTATCTTTATTAAAACTTTGAATCCTAGAGTCTGATTTAATGACTAACTTGCAGTGTTTGAGAGTACCTCTAAGCAACACTAAAAATTTTTCTTAAAAAAACATCTATCCTAGTGTCATTACCTCTCATTCAAATATGGATGTAAAATATAAAAGCTAAAATCACACATCAGCTTATGTCATCTAAATAGCAAGTTTTGTAGTGCTCCTATAATTAGATGGAAAAATAAAGAGTGGCACATTTTCCTTTAAGAGTTATGGGAAACCATAGGTGATTTTAAGTGGAAATAATCATATTGGTCTGGCTGTTGAGTAAACAGTGATGTGGCAGAAGACATGTTGGTACAGATATTCTCCTTAGTAAATTGTTGCGACTCTTCTGGCAAGAGATGGTGAGAGTCTGAATTAGATTAATGATTGAAAAATGTGTCTAAGGGAACCAATTTGAAAGATTCAGGAGGTAAATAAATATAGGTCTCTAACAGGGAGGCAATTTTCAAATATGTTAGTGTTTCCAACAAAATGGTAACATTACTAAAATAGGAAATAGCAAGGAGCATTGGGTGTGTAGGGGAAGGCTGTTCTTTCAATTACTGACATAACTGCATTGTGCTGGAATAATTTTTAAGAGTTCCATTAATATCTTTGAAGGAGGTACAGAACTCTCACACATTATACTGAGTCTTGTAATTTACTGAAGTAATTAGGTACGAATATGTATTTCCTAACACATTAACCAACTTTTGGTAGCGAATGTAAATGAA